AAAACATCCAACTTAAAAAGATTTCTATACAACTGAGGAGCTGTTTTCCTTTGAAGTGTTTAGAATTTGTTCTCTAATGCAACAAATGGGAAAAACATGTAACTCTATAAATATAGCCCCCAACAAAAGATGCATGTTGTGTTTTGGGGAAGGCCATCAGTAGGGGGTGGGCAGGAGAATGAAAACAGCTGGGTCCAAGACGAAAACAGGGCAGAGTTCAGCTGTGAAATTAAAAGAAACTGACAGAAAAACCAGTCACCGCTCAGAATGAGACCAGAGAAAAGGAAAGGGAGCAATGTGTGCAACACCAAAGCAACGGAGACCCTCACCAGCATAGCAAAGAATAAAAGCTATAAACCTAAAGTTATATTTTTTATTGATTTAAAATCTCTCTATACCGTCCCTTCACAGACATCTTGGGATGGTTTACAACAGATTAATAAAACAGAATAAAAATAGAAATAAGAGGAGCAGTTGCACAGCATCCGACGTTAAATATGAAGCCACCAATTAAAACAGGTTAGCAATTAAAATATTGGGAGAATAAAAAGGTTCTCACCTGATGCCAAAAGGAAAGAAGTTACTCAAGCACACTGAGAGGATGAAAGTTATAAACTCAAAGGATGCATGTGAAAGATAAAAGGTAAATACCCATCCTTGTAATCAAGCCCAAATGATTTTTGGAAGGAATCGTGCTAGTGCTATTACCTAAGTTTGAGAAGACATGCCAGAATATGATGTGGTCCAGTCTGCATTAATCAGGGACTGGGCAACATTCCCTTCTTCGCCAGTTCAGCATTCCTGTTCAGCCTTCCCAGGGCTCCGAAGGGGAGCGTCCTGGGCCCCAAGGATTCTAGGAGGGGTGCTTTGCCAGGCATCCTGTGCAAAGCCGTTTTCCCAGGGACCCTGGCGTCTGAAATGCTGCTGCTTCTGCTGCCAAGGGAAGGGGGGAGAGGCAAGCGGGAGGCCTCCCCTGGAAGGCATGAGCAAGACCACCAAGGAATGGGAAAGGAAGGAGACAGCAAGGCCAGATACCGGAGCTCCAAGGAAGAGGGTGTGGGGGCTTGAAAAGCCAGCTGTGAGGTGGCCTGAAAAGCTCTTTGTTTTGTAACTGGTTTTAAAAAGACCAGCTCTGCCCACTGAAACCATCATCTTGGGCCTTTCTCCATATGCCCCACCAGGTGGTGGCAAAGGGAAAGAAATGCTTTTCAGTGATGCTTCTTGACTTTGGCCTTCTCTCCTGACAGATGTCTAGTTCATAAAAGGGCCAGGCAGAATCATTTCTGTTTTCAAAGGTTTTAAGAAACGCCAATGGTGGTATTTTCAACTCTGACTGCCACCCTGTAAACACTTGACTTGGAAGTAAAGGCCCAGGGCTTACCCAACTCTTTCCTCCAACACCTCACCATCCCTAGCACGTGCTGACTGAAATATCTGGATCACTCTACCTATTGGCAGAGCTGGCCCTGCTTGAGCAGCAGATTCCAAGATACCGCTCTTGGATCACCATTAAAGAGGAGCAAACTGCCAAATATTTTTAGGGCCACGTATGTTGGCCACCAAGAAGGCTGTCATTTAGCAGAAAATCCAAATGGCCTTAAGCTCTCTCCCTTTTAGAAATGGGTATGCAAAATTCCCCACTTGATCAATCCTCCAAGGACAGCAGGTGCAAGCTCTGTATGAACTACATTACACCCTGTCTCGTCTTTCTTGAAAGTCAACAGCCTCCTGCCAAAATGGTCTCGAGGATTGTCTTTAGGAAGGCTGTTCATTCCCAGACCTCCTTCCTCAGCTGTACTGCAAGGATGCGGATCCTTTGCTGAATGCGAAAATGCATTACGAAGAAGCTCTCGGGTGCCACATTCAGGCAACGGAGTCAAACACAATAAGGGTAGAGCCAAAAACACCAGCATACTGGAACTTAACAGAGCAATCCTATGATTGTTTAGACAGAAAAAAATCCTCCAACTCTCAGCATTTCCCAACCACCAAATGATTGGTGGGCAGGGATGGGAACAGGGAAAGAGACTTGCCCCTCTGGGAAACCCTGGAGGGCAGATTGGAAGACCCCTGATTGGGGCAAATTCGGCCCCAAGCCCGAGGTTCTCCATCTTATTTCCAGGTGACAGCAACACTGAATTCAGAAATGATAAGGGGAGGATAGGAGATCCACCAGTGCAGGCAACCAGCACGGAAAGAAAGCCTCTTAATTTTCTTCTGTGGGGGAAGAGGCACACCAGTAATTCTGTGTGCTTCTTTTCAATGCTGTGTGGCGTATTTTATCGACAGAGACACACACATGCACACACATCTTCACTCCAAGGAAAGTCTCAACATGCACAATGATGCTGCAGGCTAGAATGCAATATATTATATACTGCTATATATACGTCTTTTGTGCAAAATGGATCCCACGCTAGAATGCAATATATCAAAAACTCAACATTACAAATAAAAAACACACTAAAATCAGCCATGATACAATCAATAAAATGAGGAGGAAATGAGTAATAGAAGCAGAAGCCATCTGGTCTGTTTAAAAGCCCTTAATGTGTGGCTTAGGGTTCAGGTGGTGTCACAGGATTGTGAACAAAGACTCACCTGTTCTCAGAGGAACCCTCCTTAGAGAAGGTGAGTTTGCAAGGTGCCACAGGTGACCAGGGGTCCTGTGTTAGTGATGGTCTGTAAATACAGAACATGAGGCTGACACTTCTTCCAGGTTTGGAAGACTCTAGCCTGGTGATGGAAGAGGGTCATGTGGCCACGCACCGTTTAGATATTGCACAGAAATCCTCTGTTCCCACCACACTCACAGACTAACAATGAGGGTCAGACAATGACACTGCACCCTCTTGGACCCTGTGGAAGTTTTTCGGGAAGAGCTTGCAACCTCATGAAGTAGCATCTCACATTATCTGCTTAGGTCCAGACTGCTGACCCACAACTGATGAGAGCTGAACCTGCAAGGAAGTAGTTACCATGATCCCCTGCAAGTTGGGGGCTAATGGGAGTTGCAGTCCACCCCTCTGGAAGGCACCAGGGGCCTTAATGTCACCAAATTCCCTTCAGACCAATGGGCTCAGCACAGGGAGATGGTGGCTGCTCCACGGCTCGAAAGAGGCAGCAGTGCTGAACTGGCCCGCCCAGCCTCCAACGAAGCCGCGGTCCAGAACCAGCTCTGCCTCAGTCCCGTGGCACCTGCTAAAAGATGACAACGGGCTGGTGCGTCTTACTTTCTCAGCGTGCCTTCTGCTTCCCACATCACTGGGGCGACCCAGGGAAGGATGCATGATGGGATTGCTCTTCTCCCAAGGCCAAAGCAGCATGCCATGGAAGGAGCCTCCACACATGCCAGAAATGGGTGAAGCAGACTCCTGAACACCCACCATGACCGAATAGCAAGGGCATAAACGGGGAATTCTTCTTAGAGTTGTATCTACACAAAAGGTTTAACATCCCTACCTCTTCTTTCCCCAACCTGGTGCCTTCCAGATGACCACTCTCAGCAGCCACCCACCAGCCACATTAGGTGGGGGATGCTGGAAACTGTAGTCCCAAAGAACTGGGGGCTCACTGTTGGGAAAAACTGCTCCACACTATTCAGGAATTGATGTCATGGTTAGAAGTGGAGAAGGGCAGCCTGTTTTCTCCTTCAGGGGCCCTGTTCTTTGCAGGTAACTTGTCCTCCAGGGGGCACAACCACCCCAGGGAAGACCATCCCATAGCCTCCTTTCTCACACCCAGCAGGGAAGGAGCCCTTCTGCAGGCAGGTGCAGGAGCTCTGCGGTGCTCAAGGGCCTGGGCACCCCCGCCCGGTCCCTTCCCCCCTGCCCTGGGCACAGGCCGGCTGTGGGGCAGACCTGCCTGCCAGGAGAGGCATCTGGGTGGCCTGCCTCTAGTGCAGAGTGTCAGACTGTGGAAATGGAAATGCAAATCCTTATTCTGCCGTGTGGGTGATCCCAAACCAGTTACTGAATCACAGCATAACCTACCTCGCAGGGCTGCTGTGAGGGGGATCGGGGGAACCCCTTCGGCCAGCTAGTCTCCTTGGAGGAAAGGCAGGATTTCAGCATGAGTGATCCGCTGGCACAGCCATTGCGCATGGACAGGGCAAGGGCTCCCTTGCAACAGAATTCCCAGCCTCTTAAATTTCCCGTGACTTTTTGGGGGTGGACATCCGGCAGCTCAGCAAATGCACACTTGCAGCAGAAAGGCGTTCCAGGTGGCCTGACTTCCCTGCCGGATGCCTCAGCCAAACCAATGCCAACTTCTCTGTGATGCTGCTTGGGAGTGTGAAAAAGACATTTCAGAGGGAAACGTGGTACGTCGAGCCTGCTGGTTTTGAAGTTTCGGGACAGGCTACATTCTGTGTTCAAGTTTGGAACATGCTACAAACATCCTTCCAGATCCTACAAGCAAGCTAGAGTTCACTCTGCAGCACACAAAGTCTGACCCATTTTTGTCCAAGTGGGGTGGGTTCCTTAGACATTACCCTAAACACCCCTCTGTTGCAGCTACTCTTCCACAGGCAAGAGGCAAAGCTTACCCCGCTTCCCTGCCGTGTCTAAGCCAAGGGTAAGGTTGCGCCTATGAGCAGACATCCTTAGTGCAGCCATCCCAAGGTCACTGCCCCCCTTCCCTAGGATAAATTGCCTGGGACCTAGACCGTCCGAGTCGCGCGCAGAGGAACCCGCCACAGAGAGAGGCTGGGCTCCCTGGGATTCTGTTCTGTGCAGGAGGGGAGCTGGCTGAAAATGGGGCATAGAAATAAGCAAGCCATTTTAAGCGGCGCTGGCTTGACTGGCTGCTGGTTTTTCTGCCTTTCCACCGCCGTTGCTTCTCATCGCGCCGCGTGCATTGCGCGGCCTTGGGAGACGGCTGGCTCCCCGCCCACCCCGTCGGCATCACGTGAAGAAAAGGCCACAACTCCCGCAACAAGCAAGCAAAGAAACTTTCGCCCGCCGAGCAGCCGGGGGCCGGGCGAGCGGCGCCCTCCTTACCTGCTCTCTCCTGCACCCGGCAGACGATCTCCCAGCGGGCCGCCGCCTCCCTGTCCAGGCCGCGGGCCAGGGTGACCTCGCCGGTGTCCCGGTCCACGCGCACGGGGGCCTCGCCGGGCGGCGGCGAGGCGAGCTCGAAGCGCGGCGCGGCGACGCGCGTGGCGGGGCCCAGCGTGGCCAGCAGGGTGCCGGGCCGCGCGTCCTCGGGCAGGACCAGCGCCAGCGGCGGCTCCGGCTGCAGC